GTTTACTCCTGATACACTTCCTGTCAGGTAGTTTACTCCTGATACACTTCCTGTCAAGTAGTTTACTCCTGATACACTTCCTGTCAAGTAGTTTACTCCTGATACACTTCCTGTCAGGTAGTTTACTCCTGACACACTTCCTGTCGGGTAGTTTACTCCTGATACACTTCCTGTCGGGTAGTTTACTCCTGACACACTTCCTGTCGGGTAGTTTACTCCTGATACACTTCCTGTCAAGTAGTTTACTCCTGATACACTTCCTGTCAGGTAGTTTACTCCTGACACACTTCCTGTCGGGTAGTTTTACTCCTGATACACTTCCTGTCAAGTAGTTTACTCCTGATACACTTCCTGTCGGGTAGTTTACTCCTGACACACTTCCTGTCGGGTAGTTTACTCCTGATACACTTCCTGTCAAGTAGTTTACTCCTGACACACTTCCTGTCAGGTAGTTTACTCCTGATACACTTCCTGTCAAGTAGTTTACTCCTGATACACTTCCTGTCAGGTAGTTTACTCCTGACACACTTCCTGTCGGGTAGTTTACTCCTGACACACTTCCTGTCGGGTAGTTTACTCCTGATACACTTCCTGTCAAGTAGTTTACTCCTGATACACTTCCTGTCAAGTAGTTTACTCCTGATACACTTCCTGTCAGGTAGTTTACTCTTGACACACTTCCTGTCGGGTAGTTTACTCCTGATACACTTCCTGTCAAGTAGTTTACTCCTGATACACTTCCTGTCGGGTAGTTTACTCCTGACACACTTCCTGTCGGGTAGTTTACTCCTGATACACTTCCTGTCAAGTAGTTTACTCCTGACACACTTCCTGTCAGGTAGTTTACTCCTGACAAACTGCCTGTCGAGTAGTTTACTCCTGATACACTGCCTCATAACTGTTGGAGCGACACTTATCAGATGTAGAGCCCCTTGACAGAAGTAGATTATGGAAGCCCAGAGCTTCAAGGAAGGCGCATAGTCTCACGGCAAATATAGAGTCTCATGTCAGGTTTAGAGCCTCATGACAGGAATGGAAACAAATGTCTTGTATACAGCCTAAAGGCAGTTGAAGAGTCTTTCAGAAGGTAAAAAAATCTAACGCAGGTGTAGAGCCGATTGGGAGGCCAACAGCCTCTCGTCAGGTGAAGACAGGGGCTTGTACATGTCATCAACAAACACACCTCATTTATGTCTTATACCCAACATAATCAAATCCTTTATCACCTGCCTTGTACTCACCATCAACACAGTATTCGTCACCTATCTTGTACCCACCATCAACACAGTCTTCATCACTTGCCTTGTACCCTATATCATCAGAATTATCATCACCTACCTTGTACCCAACATCAATACAGTTATCATCACCTGCCTTTTACCCAACATCAACAGTCATCAGGAAGGAGTTAACGTTCTCCTTGATTTCGTCTATGGATTAAGTTTCCATTTATATTGTTTCTTAGAATTTCTTTACCACGTTTACACAAATTTTAAGACTATAGGCAAATATTATATAGAATTACTAGAACATGCAAAATATTTCAAACAAATGATAAACAATATATAAATAATAAACTACTGGGGCCAATGTCACCTATGCTAGGAACCTACTGAGGGTAGAACGACTCTTCTTTCAGAATTTCTTCAACCAAGGAGCCATTCTTCAGACACCCGCGAAAAGTGCCACCTTTTAATAGTAACCACAACAGATATAGTTCTCTTAGTCTGGGAACTACCACAGCCAAAGCCACCTTTGTCTGGGATCTACCACAGCCAAAGCCACCTTTGTCTGGGAACTACCACAGCCAAAGCCACCTTTGTCTGGGAACTACCGCAGTCAAAGCCACCTTTGTCTGGGAACTACCGCAGTCAAAGCCACCTTTGTCTGGGAATTATCACACCTAAAACCACATTTAAAAATTAACGTGGTTAAAGCCACTTTACCCGGGAAACTACCGCTGTCAAAATAAGTTTTCTGCAGAATTTCATGCAAATTTTAAAAATAAAAAAAATCATAATAATAATGACAAAGATTAACATATTATCTATATACCACCTATTATAACATAATAATGTGTGGAATGATTTTAAAGTAATACTTACTTATATTTTTGTTGACAACTGTTTGTATGCTTAATAGTAATGACAATATGTTTAATAAAAGTGTCAAATACACTGTGCTTCATATAACAGAGGAATACACTGTGCTTCATATAACAGAGGAATACACTGTGCTTCATATAACAGAGGAATACACTGTGCTTCATATAACAGAGGAATACACTGTGCTTCATATAACAGAGGAATACACTGTGCTTCATATAACAGAGGAATACACTGTGCTTCATATAACAGAGGAATACAGTGTGCTTTGTATAATAGACAAATAAATATAATTTATATTTATAGTTTAAAATAGACAAATAAATAAATAAATTTGTTTATTTATAAATATAATAAATACAATATTCATATAACAGATGAATATACGTGTGCTTCATGTAAAAGACAAATGCAGTGTGCTTTGTATTAATAGACAAATACAGTGTGCTTAATGAAATGCTGTAAATGAATACAGTGTGCTTCATATAACAGACGAATACAATGTGCTTCTTATAATAGAATACAAAGTGCTTTGTATTAGTAGACAAATACAGTGTGCTTCATATAACAGACGAATAGAATGTCTGGAATGGACATTATATTTGTGTCGGAGTACTTAGACAGCGAAGCTTTGGGCTCTCACCAGCCGCACGATTTCTGTATACAACCACCAATTTTTTGTGCTTCATATAACAGTCAAATTCACTGTGCTTCATATATCAGATGAATATAGTGTGCTTCATATAATAGACAAATACAGTGCGGACCATATTACAAACAAATACAGTGTGCTTCGTATAACAGACAAATGCAATGGGCTTCATACTATAGACGAATACAGTGTGCTTCATATTACAGACGAATAACGTGTGCTTCATATAATAGATAAATATAGTGTGCTTTATATAACAGATGATTAAAGTGCGCTTCATATAATATAAAAAACAGACAGATACAGTGTGATTCATATAACAGATGAATATAGTTGGCTTCATAATAGATGAATATACTGTGCTTCATTTAACCGATGAATATAGTGTGCTTCATATAACAGATGAATATAGTCTGCATCATATAACAGACAATACACTGTCCTTCATATAACTAATGAATATAGTGTGCTCCATATAATAGATGAATATAATGTGCTTCATTTATGAAATGAATATAGCGTGCCTCATATACCAGATGAATATAATGTGCTTTATTTAACAGACATATTCAGTGTGCTTCAAATAATAGACAAATACTGTGTGGGCTTCATATAAGAGATGAATATAGTGTGCTTCATATAACAGACGCATACAGTGGACTTCATATATTAGATGAATAGAGTGGGGCTCATATAATAGATGAATACAGTGAGGTTCATGTTATAGATGAATAGAGTGGGGTTCATATAACATATAAATAAAAATACAGCGTGTTTCTTATAAAAGAAGAAAACAATAGGTTTCATATAATAGATGAATACAGTGTGTTTCATATTACTGATGAATGCAGTGTGCTTAATATAACAGTAGAATACAGTGTGTGTGTCATATAATAGAAGATTCAGTGTGCTTTATATAACAGACACATTCATTTTGCATCGTATAACAGAAGAATGCTGAGTGTTTTATATATCAGACACAAACAGTGTACTTCATATAATAGACGAATGCGGTGTGTTTCATATAATAGAAAACAAATTGGTGCTTCATATAATAGAATTTTACAGTGGGCTTCATTGAGCCGACAAATACAATGTGCTCATAATAAAATACAGTTTGCTTCATATAATAAACGAGTTTGTGCTTGATAATATAAATTATATCATGTTTCCAATTATAGACAAATACAACATAACTCATCACACGAAAGAATATATTATACTTCACTACATAAACAATCTGACCTACATCAAACACGGCATAGCAGACGAAATAAGAAATAATAACAGTGTATAACTATACCTCATTAAGTTACCCTAATTATTATATCCATAAACAGACATCACTATATAGTGAGTTTTTCTCTATAATGACATCGATGATATCAGCGTTGTGGATGAACTAGGCGTTTGACTGCACACAGGTCCATGGGAGGACAGCGCAGGTCAAGACCCACGGCCCTAGCTGACCGCGCAGCCTTCGTCAGCCTCTGGGTGAGAGGGATGTCTGTCCGGGTCATAGCTCAAGTTACTGGCAGCAGCGTGACTACGGTGTGGAGGTGGCTCAGACGATGGAAAATGGAGGGAAACGTAAACACGAAACACCGCTCCAGACGACCAAAGCCGGAGACTTTTTCAAACGAAATTGGCAGCATAAAAACATTCGTCACTTGGACTGGGATTCCGGGACCGTTGTTGGGAACCTGGCATCCTGTTCAGTACTCAAGACAGCGATACCCGCATGTGACTTATGTGAAGGATCCAGAGAGAACTTTTCATCATCAGAGTTCTCCTGCAAGGCCTATATAAGACGTCAGATGTGGGAAGAACAGTGGCTCCACTGCCACTGTGGCATTAACACAAACTTCTAAGCAGTGAGAGCATGAGGACACGCCCCACAACACAGTGCAATGCAACTAGGCACCACCTCAGTCAGGCAATTTAAAGTTCTAGGAGTCGTTGCTGTCCAGACCCAGTCATCACAGATAATACATACAGACTAGAATCAACAGCATATACAAATGTTGTGAAATTTTATGTTCTTAAGAAACCCAAACGTACGCACACAAACACACACGCACACGCACACGCACACGTACACGTACACGCACACGTACACGCACACGCACACGTACACGCACACGCACACGCACACGCACACGCACACGCACACGCACACGCACACACACACACACACACACACACACACACACACACACACACACCCACACACACACACACAC